TGATACAAGTTTGGATACGTATTTTTGGAACAGTTAGTTTACAGGAATATACGTCCTCTCCTGTGGACTTCATCAGCGTAAGTGATACATTTGAGCCTGGTTTCCTGTCAATGTAAAAAGGCAGATTAAAACTTATATGTACAGTAGTCTAATAAATATAATATAAATAAAGTGGCTGGAGTGAATAATGTATAGACTATATTAGTATGGGTTTTTAGGAGGAGAATTCAACGGATTTCCGCACAACGCCTTGTTTTGGTAGACATGAATTTAATAAAATAATAAATCACCATGTCATTAACATTATGGTTAGGGAGACTGTAATGAGCTGCGACTGATTTGCTCATGTCTTTACGTCTAATAGTAAATTTGTGATTTGTAAGTCTCGCCCTGATTTTGGTACCTGTGAAATTTCCCTAGTTACGCTTAATAATACAATAATTGAAATAAGTAACGTTAGAAGCATGGCAGTCGGGTCGGGGTATATTATTTCCTCGAATACTGGTATTTTGAATCTACTGTATACCCTATAGTGATTATATTACATAATTGGCATTGGCTGTCTTAGCACCGTTTTTTTTTTCTCTGTTGTGGTTGTCGGTTGTTAGTTCAAATGATGTTATGGGTGATTTTGGGGGCGGAGGGTGTCTGCGTGCGTTTATCAGGGGTGGCGACAGGATTTGCCCGAATGAGGGAGGGGGCCGATGCCCCGACGAGGGGTCAGATTTCCCCGACGAAAGCAAAGTGGGCGTGGTCGAGCTTCGATTAAAGGTTCCGAAAGTGGTCCAGGGGGGCGAAGCCCCCGAAAATTTTGACAATTTATGGGTTTCAAAGGCTTATTTAATAGATTTTAGAGTCCACTAATATGTAGAAAATACATTTAATTTTTGTTTCTCTCCGACGAATTGTGCTTTTTCTCCCCGACGGGGGGGGGGGGGCCTCCCCTGCTGGCGCCACCCCTGGCGTTTATGGGTGGTTTGTCATTAAGATAAGCGATGGAATGGTCTAATTTGACATTTGAGTATTTTGTAATCTGTTTTAATGGCATCTGTAAGTGGTTTGGTAAATGGATTGTAGTCTAATATTTTTGGTATGCGGTTGCTGTTGGGTTTTACGTTGTAGGCACTATGTAAGGAACTCTGTTCTTGTTTTAAGTGTGCTTTAGCCACGGTACATTTGGTTAAGGGGAGTGGATAGTTACCGTACATTTAGCAAAATGAGATATGAGTGTGGATAGCTGATTGTGGTAGTCGGTGGTGTCTGACAAATTCGTTTAAGGCGGAGGCATTGACAGTAAACTATTGACTTTTTCAGGCTTATGGGATGAAACCTGTTGAAGTGTATATTTATGGTTGGCAATGGGTTTATAGATGGATGTCGAGATGGTACCGTTGGTAAGTATAGATGTTATATCTAAAAACAGTATCTGAAAATTTGGCGATTCTAGTTTGAATTTGATGGTGGGGGTGAAACCCGTTGATGTGTGCCTTGAACCAATTGAGTGCGTTAGGGCTGTTCCAAAATTAAGATGCCATCTACATATTAGTGTAGAAAGTACCGTACTCGAATAAACGCCCCTCCTAACGTGAACATTCCCTTAAGCGCCCCGTTTGAATAAGCGCCCCATCATTAATATCATAATATTTTCTTTTTAGCAAGTCAATAACCCAATTAATCCTGGGACTGCTGTTGTTGGCATAATTGAGCTGCAGAGTGGAAACACATTCTTCTTAGGTCAATATCAAAATGAGGATATTTCTCTTGGACTGATGAGAGCTCCGATCCCTGGACAGACAGTATATTTCCAACTTTACTCTTTATACATAGGCCTATTTGTCTTTGCCTAGTCCTACTCCTCTTTTTCTTTTCCGACAATTTGCACCTTTAGCACATTCTCATCTGAGTTTTCAAATAAAAAATACAATGATCCTGCCATCCTTCTAATCTCAATCGGCCGATGGCTAACAAGCTAACCACTACTCACCACTACTATTTGCATCTGCTACGGTATTTTGCTGTTATGTAAATATTCACGCATTCTTGTCATGAGCCATGTTCTCTGGACGATTATCTTTTCTAACCACCATTCGTAATGTCCTTATATAATCTTTTTTCATTCAAAAAAGTGCCTCTTGGATTTAATAATTTCCCATAAGAACCCTTCGATTTTCATCTATTTCCATAAGCGCCCCCTCAATTTCTACTCTGTTTTTAATAAGCGCCCCGTTGAATAAGCGCCCCCAGAAAGTTTAAAAAATATTTTAAGCGCCCGGGCGCTTATTCGCGCGAGTACGGTACGCTGTAGGTGAAAACTAGATAACATGCATTCTTCCAAATCGGCCATCGATATATTTGCACTAGGGGCCATTTTGGTCCCCCATTGCTGTCCGTTTGTCTCTGTAGATAATACTTCCATTTGAATGTCAAGTAGGCCTAGTTGTGCTTGATGATGCAAACATTATCTATTTGTGTTCCGGGTAGGCCTATTATGTTTGTTGAAGAATCTTTCAAGAAGCAGCTACCATGCCTTCGTTATTGGGATACTCGTTTATGAGGAAGAGAGAGACATCCGAAGTGAAAAGCATACCATAAGTTTTAGTTGTTTCATTTCATTCATTTTGCAAGAAAATGGGTAGAGTACTGTGTGTAGCTGAGAATATTATACAACAGAGGGTTAACAATGGAACTTTCCGCTAAGCCCCACCCCTTGGATATTGTTGCTAAGGTCCCATAAGACGACAGTGTTAAAACCATAGAGATTACTGTAATAAGAATACTAGAGCGCTAACTGCAATGTATTCGATGTTCGAAATACGCAGAGCTGTGTGTGTGTACCATCCAAGATGGCTGCCATAGATTCAGCCAATCGAATTTCGTCTAAGCGCCGTCGTTTGCAATTACGCCCTCAATTTACACAGAAAGTTCAGTACATCTAGTTACCCGTATGTTTGAAACTCGAGCGTTGCGGTGTATGGGTGTAATCTACACGATTTTAATTTTCATTCCTTGGTACTTTATTTTTGGATAGGATGCTCCACTTGGCCTCGTTTTGGCTACGATAGTTAATATTTTGTTTAATGAAATAATAGTCAGTCAGAGGGCTTATTTATGGTAATAATGCACCAATATGTATACTACGCCTGAAGGTGGCGCTTTACTACGACGGCCATCTTGGATGGTACACATACATAACTCTGCATTGCTCCGCCATCTTGTCAGCACTCTAGTTGTTTAACGTGCGTTTATTTTTTGTGGGACAACACGTGTGTTTGTGAGACGCCGCGTATTCATAGCGCTGTTCTGATTAGTTGTTAATTTTGACTGAAACTCCGGAAAGGTCTATTAAGTAAATATTATGCGGATAAATGTTTTGTTAATGTTGCTCTGTCGGAGATGATGAGTCTATCTTTCTTTGGAATGGAGCAGTTAATCTTATTTCAACCGTGTAAGACAACACGAATGAAACAAAAATGCACGGATTGAACAATTTGTATGATCAGTGACGAAATGGTGTAATAAATAACCAATGTCACGAAATACGAAATCCACAAGTACTGTAAGTGAGAAGGATCTAGATAGGTGTATTATAATTAGGCCTATATTTGTTAGTATTTTCGGTATGAAATAACTGAAGTTGATTGTAGGACTATTAACATATAAAAATATATAAATACATTTAGAAAATAGAAGCATTGTGATTGATTGCTGTATACATTAAAATTACCAAAGAATTAAACAAGTCAATTTGTTCTATCCCCCTTTCCAATTCCCTTTGTCACCTGTCTTGGTTTGCTGGTCGGAATACGATTTGTTTGGTTTTGCTTCCCATGTTTGGATAATTTTTGTCTTGTTTCGTCCTCTCGTGTCCCAGTTTTTTTGTTTAGTTTCTCTTTTTATATTATATTGGCTTTCCCATCATAAGATTTATTTTCTCTTTATCTTCTCATATCTTTCCTTTTATTATGCATTGCATACCTCATTATATACCCATTATATATATATTTTTTGTAAATAAGTTTTTCTTTTAATTCGAATTAGACTACAGTATTAGTTATATATAGGCTATACATTTTGCAATACATTTCGATCTTTTATTTCAGACAAAAGTCAATACATACAATAACAAATAGAGTACTGTAAATGGCCGAAAACAATGGAAAAAAAACCCCAAAGAAATAATGCCATGCCTTTAAAAAAATATTAGCTGTATTAGACTATTAGTTACTAGGGCGGATGTAGGATTTGGCAGTAGGGGTGCGTGAGAGTCCACATCACCTCAGCGTAACGATTGTTGGTGCTGAGGTGTGAAAACTTTGAGAAAATGGACCTTAAGGTGCCCGGAAATTGCACTCCCACACTCTCATACTTTATAAAAATCACTATGTTTATGATGATAAAAATAATATGTTAACAATACAATACAACAATTATTTTTTTAATGCAAATTAGGATGGGTTGGGGGGGGGGGGGGTTGCGATTGCACGCCCCTTGTATCTTCCCCAGAGATATTCAGTTGTATCATTCTGTACAGTATTACAATATATTATACAGTGTCCCAAAAGTCTTGATACCTTTAAAAAGCTTCATATTTCCGGTAATATATTTCCTAATGTAAACCTGAAAACATATTTTGGATAGAAAAAGCTTTTATAATTTTTGTTTGGTACCAAGCTTTCAACTGATTGTGTCGCCAAATTACAAACAAAGGTTTTACCAGCTCGTAATACTCTTATGCAAAGAATTAGGAAGGAGAAAAATAGAATGTGTTACATTTTATGAAATGTAACACATTCGCAATACCAATTAAATCAATTAATCAGTAGGGTAAGAATGCTTTGATCTTTAGTTAATTCATAGATATGTCACCTACTAGGGGTAATATTTTGATTGGTCAAACACTTTTGGTACTTGTGCATATAAGCTTGCAAATATGGATAATTTTTCATTCCTGATGATGACATAATTAATGTCGAAATATTGAATCCCGACACGATGGCGTGCATTTCGATACTTTGAGTATTTATTATACTATCAATTGGAATAAATGTAATAAATACATTTTAGGCAAGTGTTGTTTAAGTCTGTGAATTCACGCACAGGTGTACACAGTGAACAGTTACTTTTCCCTGGTATACAGGAACATAAAACCACATTTGACATTGTAGGCCTACTTCGTGTTATGTGACAAACCTTTCAACTCGTGATATCAATAAAGGGGTTGCTAATGAAGTTAAGTTTGGTACCAATATAATTCTACAAGTCTAAAACGCATTTATGTTTAAAATTTTAGATGGCAAATGATTTTACGGAAGATATAAGGCTTTAAAAAAGTATGGGGACTTTTGGGACAACCTGTACTTCGCAAACGTGTTAACTTTAGGTGATTTCGTTAATATTATATTTTCTACAAGCACTATGCTGTCTTTAACATTATAACCCGGTACATACATACAATGTTTGTTTTGTGTACATTTTACTAAACTCATCTGAGTTTAATGTAATTCATTCGAGATTCGTAGGGTATTGAATCATTATGCATATTGTTTCAATTAAAAATTACACCAGAGAAACGTATTAAGTGAAAGTCCTAATAGTAACAATATCGCCATTCACCACCAGTGTTTTTGTAGTACGAGGTCTTGCACCATTTGTAATCAGTCTGTTGGTTGTAGGTACACACGTTGTCTACAGGCTGCGGGCTACAACAGTAATCCCATTCAAGAGTAGTATCTACATAACACCAAAAGTATTCGTTTTTAGTGCTAACGTCATAATGTAGGCCACAAGGGTGGTCTGCTAGACAGGGATGGGGTGTTTTCGAGGTTCGGGTGCCGGTTGGTATGGTCCCTCCTTTTCCACAATATTGCCATGTACTGCCAGAGTTGCACCAAAGGTATTTGTAACCTTGATATCCACAGGTACCGGTGCAACAGTAATCCCAATTTCCGCTAATACTGGTGTAACACCAAGTGTAGGAGTAGCCATAAGTCCCGCATGGATGGTCTGCTTTACAGAGAGAATTTCCAGCTGTCAGATACTTGTCATCTAAATAAGTACAGAGAAGACCAGTGCGTCTGATGTCCTTACAACCAAACGTAGTAGGTTGTTTATACTGTTTGCGTTCCTCGGCAGAGGTTAGAAGAGCGATGTGGTTGTCGAAGTCCCAGGCATCTTGACATGGTTTGCTTATTGGTTTCAGGTTGCATTTTTGGTGGCAAGTTGCCAGATGGTCAACAATAATCTTCTTCTGAAGCAACGTACACGCAGCTCCGGTTTCCTTTAAAAACGTCTCCTTGAAACAAATTTCCCTTTGTTCATTCAGAAGGCATTTATCTAACAGAATGTTCATCAAATAAGCCTTTTGGGTTCCACCTGCGGAGACCTCGAAGCAGGAGTAAATTCCATCTCCGAGACACTGAAGGACACACCCTTGCAGAGATTGAATCACGGACGGTTCGGTGCACGTATCATGTGCATCACGTGGCATCTTTATCGCTCGTGACGTCCGACTATTGAAACAGGATCCCATATTCAGAGGTTGCGGTATAATGTCTGCACTTAAAAAGTTAAAATTCTGAATAAATTGATCTGCAGGTGACTCATCGTCATCGTTATAAACAAGGACTCTAGACGGAACGCTACGATATGGCTCTACGGCAAGACTGTCTCTGATTTGCTCAGCACATTCATGGGCATTACGTGTTCCTCTACTGCACGGGTACAAGCGAGTAAATAGAATAATCATGGCTGGTCGTCGACGATTACCTTGATTAATGTAATTGTTCCACATGGTCTGCAGTTCATACAGCAAATGTTCCTCCGCATGATATCCATCGAAAGGTCTGGCTACCATATAGTTCTGAGGCGATGGAGGACTGAAAGCTACATTGTTGTTTACATATGGAGTTCCGTCGTCATGTCGAGGATTGAACTGGAACTGTGTCAAATTTTCTACTTCTGTTTGGTCCAGGAAGATCAGCGCAGCAAACTGACGTGGTCGAGCCTGACCCTGAAGCTCAGGTATTCTGTTGTAGAGGAATTCGGCAAGATCATTCGGCAAGTCGACACCAACACAAACTTTAAGTTTTAAACATATCGCAAGTGTTATCATCAAAATAACTGTTCGGTGGCACATCTTGAAGCTGTAAAAGCAGATATGGATAATAATTAGGTTAAAAAACAGGAAAATAATACACGACTAAAGAGCGTAAGTCATTAAGCGGTTAATGTGCATGGAATTCTAAAAACTAAACGTTTACGTTGTACGTTCTTAGCACTTTCAGAGATTTTGAATCTGAATCCATCGGAACTAACACTTATAGGCCCTACCCATAGCAGGGTTGCTTCTCAACAAAATAAAAGATGCTCTTCATCTTCAACCACGTTACACTGTTAGTAGGAACTATGTAATAGTTTAAATTGGTTAAACTACAGTTAGTTTCCATGGTGTCTAGCTTTCATTTTCCTTGTTAACATCCAGTTAATTGGAGTATTAAAATAGCAATGTCATATTTTTGAAATAAGACTTGGATATTTGTTATTTTCATTTGTTTTAGCTACATTTTCAAGTGATTTATACAGTATCTTTCTATTTTTGTGGAATTTCCTTATAAGCAAGTATGAAAATTCAGTGACATAATTCTATAGTGAGTAACTCAGTTGTATTACAGTACATGACCTATTAATGGTAACTACAATGTTTATTTTGTTAATAAGAGACCTAATCCAATCCAATCCAATCCAATCAAGTTTTTATACAGTAACGAGATAGTGATCATTATATGTAATCATTTTATTTTCCCTAATTTGTTGCTTGATGACTTCATCATAACATGCAGGGTAATGACCAATACAATCGCTGAGCTGAGTTAAAGCACCTACAATTGAAAGATAGATCGTTGACATACCACTAAGTATTTTTTATGAGATTTGGGACACACTTTTTGGTAAAACGCGAGGGGAAATATTATATTTTTTATCACCACGGCCAATCCCTATTAAATTGTCACTTTTATTAAGGGGAGTGGTTAAATCAATACATTTTCAACCCAATTTTCAACATTTTTTTAATCGTATCATTAATTTTTAACTACAAGATTTAAAATAACAATATTTTATTCATATTCATATTTCGAAATCTTTTGAGGTGTCTAGGCCCGTTGCCACCCGGCCTTTTACCACCTGGCCTTTTGCCACCCTAGACTTGTTGCAACCCCGCCCGTTGCCATCCTAGGCCCCTTGCCACCCGGTCTTTGGTCACTTAGGCCTGTTGCTACCCGGCCTTTTGCCACCTGGCCCGCTGCCAGTCTGGGACTTTAGTTACCCGGCCATTGCCAACCGGCCTTTTGCCACTTTAGCCCGTTATCACCCGGCCTTTTGCCACCTGGCCCGTTGCCACCACCCTAGACCCTTTGCCACCCGGCCCGTTTTCACCCGGCCTGTTAGCACTCTGGGCTGCCACCCATAATGGTACAGTATAGCATTGTATTCTCAGAGATTTCACTCTCGGAATTTTTGGCACATGTGCATTGAAGGATGAATGGATTGATGCTTTTTATTTTATTATTTATTATTTATTTATTTACTTTGTGAACATACGCCTTTAGGTCGATGGCACTCATGGGTGTGCCTTCAAGTTAAATACAATACAATGAGTTACTTAATTACTGTACACTTAATACTGAATAAATATAATTAATACAAACTTTAAAATTATAACTGAAACTGAGAAATTAGGTAATGAACTTAAAATTGATTAATACAATAATACAATACAATAATACAGTAAAATTCAAAAAAGCAACGAAACAAGGTACACTATTCAGACTTGATTCAGTAATTCTCCCATTTACTCCACCCTACCCCACAACATCCCCTTCTCTTATACTTTAATTAAAGTTCCAGTGCATTGTAGTGAGAGATTTGTAAATATGAAATATATAGGCATATAGGTCTAGGGCCTAATTAAGAAAAATAATTGTTAAATTAAATGATATGTTTGACAAGATAAATAGGGCCTACATAATTTAAACAAAGACAATTCGTTGCGTGAAGTAGTCCAATTAGCGTATGATGTCTTGACAGTTTATGTATTTAGATGTTGGTATGCATGTAGTATGTAGGGCTATGTGTGTATGCAGGCCTATGTATTTATTTTGTCTGAGTATGTAGGCCTATAAGTTGAGTGGGGTATTACTATGGCTATAATTTATTATATTTTTTGGTGTGTTTATTTTCTAATTTAAATGGGAATATGTTTTTTCCTCAAACAATTTTTAATCAATTAAAATACATTAGGTTGAACTGTACTCCTTCATCGACGTATAAATATGACTGTATAATTTATTTTATCTTTTGGTGTGTGTTTTTTATTTTTGGTCAACAAAAAAATAACAACATTCGGTGCCGTGGTATATTAACCAATAGGAATAACTTCGATGGGAAAATATCCAACTGACCATTGAAGACCACACAAATTAGGCGTGAAGACATAAACATACCATGAATAGCCCTTGTCATGGTATAATCAATCGGGAGGCTTTAGTTTGCTCAGATCGTTAATGTTGCTTAGCGTATATTTTTGTAGTGTTCCGCTAAGGCAAGAGATTAATCAGTTTTAGTCTAGACAAGTAGGTACTGTATGTCTAGATCTACTAAAACTTATCCTGAAGTTTATTCTTAAGCTTAGATTTTTTAATTTTTAATTTTTTTTTTATTTAAAACATCTTTAGGCAGGATATATAGGCCTACAGGCGAGATCTTACCGCTGTTTTACAATATGGTTCTGCAAAAACACAGTACAATAACAACAGCAAAAAGTAACCAGCACAGTACAATAAAGGACAATAGTAAAAACTTTTCCCCGTCGGACACCAACACGGTACTTCTGAGTCAAGGTTTCGGGGCCAGGAATTACGGCTCAAGGTTAAGCTTAACTGTATAACTTAACTACAATATGGTAAAAACTATCCCCCGCCGGACACCAACCCGGTATTTCTGAGTCAAGGTTTTGGGGCCGGGATTACAAGGTAGGACAAATGCGCTGTAAAATTACTTAAATAAAGATAAAAATGGTAGAAACTATCCCCCGCCAGACACCATCCCGGTATTTCTGAGTCAAGGTATAGGGGCTGGGATCACAACTTTTATCTTAACTACAAACCTAACTAAACAATGGTAAAAACTATCCCCCGCCGGACATTCTGAGTCCAAGTTTTGGGGCCGGGATTAAAGGTTAAAAATATAGACCAAGAAAATATAAAAGGAAATTAATTGTGATAATCAGAAAAAGTGTTTCTTATAAGTAATTTTGAATAAATTAAAAGACTGACATTCTTGAATTTTGATTGGGATTTTGTTCCAAACATTTGCTCCATAAATATTTAAAGAGCCATTCATTACAGAGCAATTTTGAATTGGGGGGATAACGTTAAGCGAGTGAGTGTAATATTCCTGTCGGTCAACAACCATTTCTATATCATTACATAAGCGGGAAGGTGCAACGCCATTTGTACATCAAACATTGCTAGGGCGTAATCTCACGTTCATCAAAAAGTTTCCAATTATTTTGCTTAATAAGATCAATTCCACAAACATTTATAAAATCAAAATTATTTTTAACTATTCTAGCAGCTCGTTTTTGTAGCCTTAATAGAATGTTTTTGTTTTTGTTAGACGTAGTTCCCCACACTGAGATTGCATAGTCCATACAGGGTTGTATAAAAAATATTTAGAAGAGATTCATTTAGTGTTTCTGCCAATTTATTTAGGATGTTAATTTTTATACCAAATAGTTTTATTTAATTTTTGAATATGGTCATTCAGGTAAGGTTTTCATAAATTTGAAGTCCTAAATAACGGATGTTTTTTACCTCATCAATGGTTTCATTACCAACATGAATATTCAAAAGAGGAAAAAGGCCGAACATAGCCAATTAGCGACATTATTCATTATTGATTGTAATTTGATATTGATATTTTCTACTAACACATATTGTGGAGGTCATTTATGAATAATGAAAATAATATCAGTCTAACACACTACCCGGTGGGATGCCAATTTCAACATTTGCTTTTTCAAATAGTTTATTATGACATTTGACTACTTGTTTGCGCTGTGAAAGATAACTTTTAAACCATTTGATTTCAGTATCTTTAATGCCATAATTTTCTAATTTAGTTATGAGAAGAGTATGATCAATGGAGTCAAAGCATTTAGATATGTCGAGAAAACAGGCTCTAATCATTTCATGGTCATCCAACGTTTTCATCTATTCATGGAGGAATAAGTTCCATGGATAAACGACAGACTAAATTAAACAACTGAACCATTACTTTAAAAAATTCCTGTTTACAGTATCGATAGCCTTTTTAAAATCCAGGCTTTACATACCCCTGTTATCTTATTTGTATCCATATAATCGAAGTCTAATGTTTTTGCCGGCCGGCCAAAGCGATCGTACATGTTTTGACCAGGGAGATGTACATTTACATCTCCCTGTTTTGACATTATTTATTATTTTGTTCAATAACTTTTTCAATTTCTTTGTTAAAACAAACGCTGCAATTTGTTAATCCACGTTCAGTAGGGTAAAGCTCGCCAGTTATTTTTAAATTGTCATGACCAAATTTGATTATTACATTTCTGCGCTGGGAGAATGACAATCTCCAAAGACATATTAAGGGCTTTACAAACTGAGGAGCCGATTTTTAATTTATTTTTATACTTCGAAGAAAAATAACGCTAAAAAAAGAACGACGTTTCGACTCCTTCATGGTGTCATTTTCAAGTGTTCAAATAATGAGGTATACAGGATACAACAATACTGCTTATAATCTAGAAAACAAAGCTGTAAATTGGAATGTCAAAGTTCGTAACAGTGGAATTAATCCCCAAAGTTAGAGAGCTTTAGCTTTGACAGAGTCACTTGTTTATTCAGACTTTAGGTTTTAATTGTCTGATGAATTACATTTCATTGTTAAGACAGTCAAATTTGTTCCTACACTTTTTGAAAATGCTGAAAAAGTTCGGGCTGATATTGCGGTCCTTAGCGTGTTGTCCTAATAACAATATCTTATGTTCAGCAATGCAGTAGAGGTGTCGGCCTGTGTATTTGACATAACTTGCATCACACAAGTCACATTTAAATTTGAAGACAACACATTATTTATTTTATGGGCGAAATATCGTGCATAATTCTTATTGGTAGCCAACCAAGTTCAGAGGTTGTAGGAAAAAAAGGTCCCGGAAAAAATAGCCCCTGAAAGAATGGCCCCGGAAAAATGACCTCAGAAAATGGCTCCAGTAAAAATGGCCCCCAATGACAAAATTCAGTAATAAAAATTATTTTTAACAGGGTTTTATAGGTGAAAAACATAAATTTATATTTTTTTTCCGAAAATTTGATCAATTTATGCGATTCCAGTACTAAAACAAAGTGATTTTTTTTTAAATTTCTCTAAAAGTATTTGTTTTAAACAATAAAATTACAGATGCAAATAAAGTACGATAAATTACTAGAAAACCATAAGCATTGAATTACATTTTTTTTATATCAGTAGAAATAAATAATTTTAGTAAACTGAATAATTAGGAATTATTAATGTAAACACCTTGTTTTAATTTGTATGGTTGGTTTTTACGCCTATACTAAATTTAAGTGCCTATTGGCTAATAATAAACCAGTGACTAATGACTATAATTGTTTTATAAAAACAATTTATTGTTTTCAAAACTTTACTAAATAATGATTAACTATGATATAGGCTTACTCAAAATTTTCTGTAGTTATGTAAATGACAATTATTATTAGTGTAATTATGAGGGCAGGGTTAAAGGTATTGCTAAACCCCACAAACCTCCCAAAAAACATTTTAAAACCAAACCAAACCATGTAATTGTGATTGTGTCATTTAAGGACTCACTTGGTAACTCAATAAAAAAATTAAATGAATTTATCCCAAAAAACATTTTAAAACCAAACCAAACCATGTAATTGTGATTGTGTCATTTAAGGACTCACTTGGTAACTCAATAAAAAAATTAAATGAATTTATGTTCATAAGAACCTATTTTTCAGGGGCGGATCAAGAGATGTCTGAAAGGAGGGCCGAAAGTGGGGCCAATCAAAATAACACTATCCCAGGGGGTCAGGGGCATGCTCCTGTGAAATTTTTGTGTTCTAGACGCCCGAAAATAACCTCTGAGGGGTATTCGGCGATCATTTCTCTCTTCTGCACTCTTTTTTTTTTTATATTATTAACCGGGAAGCGGGAAGCGTGGCCAACCTTCCCCCACCCCCAATCCGCCCCTGTTTTTTGGTTAAAATGTTTAATTTTTTTTGAAAAATACCTGCAAATACACGGCAAACTTCAAAAAACACACTGCAAAACCCATCCAAACCCTTTAATTATAATTGTATCATGTAGTATAGACTCCTTAAAAAAATAATTTGATGTTCATAAAACAACCTACGGTATTTGTGGGGTTTAGAAATACTCTAAAACCCTGAATTGTGATTCCGATTCCGTAAAAATTGCCCAAACCTAAATTATATTAGTACTAAAAAATGCCTATGATTTATGTTGATTTATTAATTAAATTATTGCTATTTTGCAACATTTAAATAGTTTGAAAATAAATTTTCCGGGGTCATTCTTTCACGGGCCATTTTCCACATATCAAGTTCAAGTACAACATTGCACGAGGAGTATTTCTAGATACTCCTAATTTTTCTGACTTCATTATTTTTTCCTTATACTTTACAGTTAGAAATTTAGGCTGGTCCCGGGGAACCGAGACAGCCACAGTGCAGACTGAATTACAACATGTAGCGGATACATTAGGACACTACGAACAGTAATCGGAAGGTCTTGGTTCGAATCCTTATGGGGACACTTTAAAGTTAGAAATTTGGGCTGGTCCCCGGGGAACCGCGACCGCCACAGTGCAGACTGAACTACAACATGTAACGGATACATTTGGATACTACGAACGATAATCGGAAGGCCTGGGTTCGAATCCTTATGGGGACATACGTTTTACTCAAAACTCTCAATACAAGAGTTATTCGAGGACACAAGCCACAGACTCCAATTATATACCGACACTAATCGGGCTGTTGGAACCGGACCGGGGTCTACACAGCAAGAAACAGAAACTTTACCTTTCAGCCAAACACTCATCTTAGCCAAACGTTCAAGTGATGTTTTAGCAAATAATTTATCAAGGTCGAACATCTTTGTCATTTCATGTTAATTATTTTCTAGTAATACAATATCATCAGCCTAAGAATAACACTTACACATGTCATTCACTCCGATGCCAAGATTAATTTGATAAATTTATTAGAAATATCTTTTCTATTTAAAATGGAATTACTGCCTGGTAATTTATTCATAAAAATATATTACCGTAAAAAATATGTTCAAAATAAAAAAAAGAATAGAACTTGTATTTGAGAATATACAGTATATAAATGTCGACGAAAATTACAGCCCTGAATACAAAAAGATTACCACGATCTGTCATTCAGATTTAGAACTTACCACTCTATCTTTTGTGACGTTTTGGATGAATTTTTCACTGAACAAACATGTATCAACCACCGGCAGCCAACTAAATCATCAATCAACTATCATAGCGCGACGACAAACATGACTCTATTCGGTTTATCTATACTGCAGCTTATTTAAAGACCTATTTCAGCAAGTTTTCATCCCTTTGATTCATGGGCGTAAAACTCGCAGAAGTTTACAAATGAACTGCCCGTAAAATATTTTACTGCTCTGTGATTGGCTGGCAACAAATATTTTCAGTAGCTGAGAATAGTGCAGTGATATTACCTCGGCATAATTGTAAAAAAAAACCAAAAAAAAAACACCCTAAGATATGCTTGACGAGCCTAGTTTCACGTGTTAATAGGTGACAGGTCACTTGTGGTTGCGGCTCCACAATAAACTGCCGATTAATACAATATTTGTTCGTGCCCGTCTTATCTACTTTTGTTGACGCACTTGATGTCTGCTGCTTTTGCAGTTTCTTAGTACGGAAGCACCTAAGTGCCATTCGACTTGACAAGATAATTTATGTTGTCAAGTCGACATAATATACATATCATGTCGACATGGCGCGAGACAGATTATCTTGACAAGTCGTCATAGTAAAAATTGTATGTTGTCATGGAGAGATAGATTATACTGACAAGTCGACATAATACATATTGTATGTTGTCATGGCGAGATAGATTATCTTGATAAGTCGACATAATATAAGTTGTATGTTGTCATGGCAAGATAGGTTATCTTGACAAGTCGACATAATAAAAATTGTATGTTGATGACAAGATACAATTTGTATTATGTCGACTTGTCAAGATAATCTATCTCACC